CATTAACAGGTGTGGAATGAAGAGTTTAGAAAGAATCACATAGGTCAAGGGTATCAAATTCATGCAGCCCCATGGGCCAGCTAAGGGTCACTATATCAGTCTGTGGGGCCCTATCAAGACTGACCCCCTGTGCTGCACGTAGGTCTAGCACACATTGGCCCTGTTTTCAGGCTGTGCTGCATGTGGGTGCAACCCAGCACTGCACATAACACACAGCACAGGAGGGCTGGGAAGTCAACTGCATGTGGCACCTGCCCCAGACTGGCCTGCACACTAGTTCTGGGGCGAGATCAGTCTGGATCAGGTCCAGGGCTGTCTATACACAAAGAAGCCAGCACAAGGACTGGTTTGGTTGTACACCATATGCAGCCCAGCCCCCAACCCCACCATGTTGTCTGCAGTGCTGGGTCCAGCCCACATGCTGCATGCAGTGCACACCCAGTGAGGCCCAGGGCTGGCACGCTGCTGAGGTAGATTATAATTAGCCAGGAAGTCACGTGACTCCCTCACTGTTGTCTGAACAAAAATGCTGCTACCATTACCAGGCAGTTGGCTTAAAACTTTGGGTACATCAGGAAACAATGCAGAGGGAGTGGGTGGGTGAGAGTGACCAGGGCCAGGGCCCACAGCCTCCTGCCTGCCCCTCAGTGCCCAAGCTCCAGGTGCTGCCCATGAGAGATTGCAGCTGCTGTGGCTGGAGCAGAGCACAGAGCTCAGTTCCCCCTCCCCCACAGGGGGTACAGCCAGAGTGGAGCCCATGGATGGGGGTGAGTGTGGGCTGCCCATTGTAGGCTCAGGGCTCCCTGCCCTGCTGCCCTCCCCCAAATGACCTCTGCAGCCCAGTGGGAGGGACCCAGCACAGGAGGGTGAGGAGGCTCAGTGCCATCGCCAGGAACCCCACACCAGCTGTGCTGCCATGGTGAGGTGCCCCCTGCCCCCCTTGCGACAGTGGAGGTGGCAGTACAGAGTTGTGTCTCCTGCTACTGCTGGGCAGGCAGAGGGCACCTTGTCATGCCAGCACAGCTGGTGTGAGGCTCCTGGAAATGGCACCAATCCTCCCCACAACACTCTGCCCTCCTGTGCCAGGTAGGTCCCCTGGGGGAGGGCAGCAGGGAGGGGAGCCCCGAGCCTGCAGTGGGCTGCCCACATCTGTCCTCATCCTGCACACAAATCTTGGGAGGCATGAGCCCCACCCCATTCTTCCCTCCCTTGGAGTGCACACAGCAGTGGGGAGCCAGCCCCCTCACCCCCCAGGATGAGCCAACCAAGGCTCCATCCCACTCCCCAATCAGGCCCTCACATTTCTGCCCTGGCCCCGGCCCCCACACACCACCCCGGCTGGGCAGCACCCCCCGCCCCAGTCTTGCCCCATTCCTTCACTCCTTCCCTCTCTCACTGTAGGGTCCTCAGTCTGCTCTTCCTCCTTCCTCTTCCCCCCATCAATAAACTTATCTGCAGGGAGCTGTGAGAGCTGCTCTCCATACTGCCTGGCTGCTACGTGCGTGTGTGCACACACATGCATGTGGCGCCCCGTGCCTGATTGCCCTCCTCCTTCTCCCCTCAGCCCCAAGCAGCCCTTTGCAACTTGGAACTCTGCCAGCCTGCAAGGGGAACCTGCTGTTCCCCACATTTCTCCTTTGAAAGAGAATATCCATGTTTTTTTCCTTAAAAGGAGAAAATCTGCATTTTTCTGTGGTGAACAGAAAACCCCGGTCCCTGCTCTTAAGCCTCTTTCAGGATCAGGCCATTGAGAGGACAGTTCAGGCAATTTATGGATTTCAGGCTGTGAGAGCAACAGCTCATGTTCTTACTTGGTTACTAGTTATGATGGCAATGAACATAATCCCAAAAGGATTAGTTGACTTTACTACACTGTCTCTGGACACAGTCGGTGTCCTGAGATGTACCAGTTGTAAATAAAAGGAAAAAATATGGACCTAAGAAGAGAAGCAAATAAGTTGTAATATTTTTCCATGCCAAGCATAATGTCTTACTGTTATTTACAGTACCGCTTTCTCAGTTTTTTACTTGAAATGAACAAATTGAGTACACATGGAATCAGATGAACTCTCTGTGCTTCATGTTTGGTTAACTTTACCAATTAGATGAATTCAAAGAGCACAGCATGCTGGTAATTAAAGATTACTGTTTTCCCAAGCTCTGCACCTTTTTAGTTTTATTATGTTTTAATAATCAACATTTTAATAACTGCAAAGAGATCTCTGGAAAATATGGCTCTTAACATATTTTAATCTTAATGTCACATTAATACAGGCCAAAGAGGAGGGGAAGGGTGAAGTTCATTTTGTAACTTAAATACATTGTGAA